ATAAGAATAGATAGACCAAAGAAATAAAGAAAAAAAACACACACGCGAACAAACAAACAAACGAACACATCAATACCCCACACAACCCACACACAAACCTACACACAAACACCCACATACACTTAACGCCCACAGACCCACCATACACCAAAACCAGACACTCCCCCCCAAAACCCACCACATACACTTAACACCCCACAAAACCCACATACACCAAACCAGAACACTCCCCCCCCCCAAACACACCCACAACACTTAACACCCACAGACCCACATACACCAAACCAGACTCCCCCCCCCAAACACCCACATACACTTAACACCCACAGACCCACATACACCAAACCAGACACTCCCCCCCCCCCCAAAACACCCACATACACTTAACACCCACAGACCCACATACACCAAACCAGACACTCACCCCCCCCCCCACAAACACCCACATACATTAAACACCCACAGACCCACATACACAAACCAGACACTCCCCCCCCCAACACCCACATACACTTAACACCCACAGACCCACATACACCAAACCAGACACCCCCCCCCCCCCAAACACCCACATACACTTAACACCCACAGACCCACATACACCAAACCAGACACTCCCCCCCCCAAACACCCACATACACTTAACACCCACAGACCACATACACCAAACCAGACACCCCCCCCCCCCCAAACACCCACATACACTCAACCCCACAGACCCACATACACCAAACCAGACACTCCCCCCCCCCAAACACCCACATACACTTAACACCCACAGACCCACATACACCAAACCAGACACTCCCCCCCCCAAACACCCACATACACTTAACACCCACAGACCCACATACACCAAACCAGACACTCCCCCCCCCAAACACCCACATACACTAACACCCACAGACCAACATACACCAAACCAGACACTCCCCCCCCCCCCAAACACCCACATACACTTAACACCCACAGACCCACATACACCCAAACCAGACACTCCCCCCCCCCAAACACCCACATACACGTAACACCACAGACCACATACCACCAACCAGACACTCCCCAAACACCCACATACCACTCAACACCCACAGACCCACATACACCAAACAAGCACTCCCCCCCCCCCCAAACACACATTACACTCAACACCCACAGACCCACATAACACCAAACCAGACACTCCCCCCCCAAAAAAAAACACCCACATACACTTAACACCACACAGACCGCCACATACACCAAAGCAGACAACCCCCCCCCCCACCCCGCAAACCAAACCAGACCCCCCCCCCCGCAACGAAGCCTCCCCAGCAGTTACCGACTAGCCGCCCCCCCCCCCGCAAACAAACCAGACCCCCCCCCCCCAGCAGTCACCGACCAGCCGCACCCGCAGACGAAATGCAGCAACGAAGCCGAGCGCTAATGAAAGTCCTTCTGCACGAGGAGCCGGGCACCCAATTACCCAGAAGGAACAGCCGAGGAATTCGACGACTTTCTTAAGAAGCGGCCGAGTTCAAAGGCGATGCCGCCGGGGGGACTCGAGTTGGCAAGCAGAGCCATTATTCTTGATAAACTTGATTAACTTCCTTCGTCTCTAATACGCGCGAGAAGCAAGAATTTTTCTTGAGGGGGGGAGGGGGGGGCTAGGAATATGAATGTGCGCAATCAGGCATATATGTCTGCGGTCGCGCGGAAGGATAGACAAGGGCTCGCGCGCGGCGCGCACACACACACACACACACACACACACACACACAACACACACACACACACACACACACACACATATTTATCTATACACACACACACACATATATTTATCTACACACAACACACACACCACACACACATACACCACACACACTACACAACACACACACACACACACACACACACACACACACACACACATATATAAATATAAACATAAATATAATTCTGCACCCTTTGGTATATACACAGACTCGTGTATGTACTTGTGTTTGAAGCAGTAGACAAGAGGTGCCGTTCCGATTGCAAGTCTCTCAGGAGCTTGCAAGAGTCAAGAGAACAGAATCATTTTTGACAATTGTTGAAGAGTAAGAGTGTAGGATTTCCACGACACGGCAGCAATTTCATAAAGTTTTTCTTGTTAAAAGTTATTTTTTTAGGGTTGTTTTGTTTAGGAAGTGAATACAGCTGCCGAAAATATGGTAGACTCTGGTACATATGTTTAGAAATAATATATATATTGTATGGTGTAAAAAATAGGACTACATATATATGATTCAAAAATAGGCCTACATATATGATTCAAAAATAGGCCTACATATAATGATTAA